GGCTACAGGCAGGAATATTTATGATACTTTAAAGGGTTATCTCATTTTACATTATTTTTCATTTCCAGTCATTCAAATTCTATAGAAATATATTTTGCTGTCAAGTAGAAAATACAAATAGGTGCCTAGATGTGTGGCACTGTGAAAATGCTTCGTGCGTCTGGCAAAGCTAACAGATATACTTCATGATCAGCATAGTCAATAATAATCTTCTCACATAGCAAATGTCACTGATTTTATACACATGCAGACCTATACACCATCTCCACACAATGATCCATATGTAATCTTGCTATACTCAACCAACTTTTTTTCTTTCACACCTTCTTCCCTCAGAGATACATACTCTCGACATTCTGCAGCCAAAAAAGCAGACTGTTCAGTAATTTCTCGATATGTGACGCTATGAGTGGCGCTCACAGCAAGCAATTGCGAAATGTACTAACGTACGCCCTAAAAGTTTTGGCACAAAATATTTATCGGACTTTTTCATTATTGAAGAAATTTATTTAAACACTAACTAGTTATCATAAATTGTAACTCAATACTTAACTAAACAATACTATCGAATTATGTGGAGTGGCCTGTTCTGCTCTACCAGACGCAACTTTCTTAGAATGTCTCTCATGAAGTCCTGGACTCATGGACTCTCAGTTTTTCGTAAATTCGTAAATTTCGTAAATAAGTCTTAATTGTTCATGTTGGGTTTCCCAGCCTCCATGATAAACTTTCCTAGACAAATTAAAGCCTAAAAATCCTATATTGGGTAAGCCTGCGGCAAATTTGGAGGCTTATCGTTTTTGGTATCAAAAAGTATGTTGTGTCGTCGAAGCCAGTTTCGGGTATCCCTTGAGTAATGGCATGATACTAGGACTGGCCAAATCATGATATGGTCATTAACATGATGTTCGTGAACAAACTGAAGCAATTTGGACTATTCAAAGCTTCACCTCTCACTCTTCCCACAAAAGGTTGGGATACACCGTTGTTACTTGTGGAAATGCCACGGGATTAATTGAATGGCAGACAGTTTTTGAATTGGATTGATATTACTTAGTTTTATACTAAACGTAGGTATTGAGTACCATACTCTAAGTTTCCTTCACTTTATTTTTCCAAGCATCCTAATGTGGTTCCATCAAAAAACATTATTTTGCGTCATTTGATTGCTATAGGTTCTTAAATAGTGACTTATGACTTATACAAAATTCGAGATATAATACATACATGAATCATGAATGTACTGAGAGATATTTTTGGTATCTGGCAAGTCTCTTATTTATTTAACCTGATAGATCTGGATTTTTTCAAAGCACCTGATACAACTGACAGAATTGTAGCATTTCCTATTTCCCAAAATTATAAAAATAACACCCGCGCTACCTCTTCCATAACCAACGACACAAAGATATCCCAACATCAGAGAACAAAAAGAGCGCATGCATCATGGTATTGATCCCCCGACTATCGCCATCCACCCTGCCGCGAAACACACCCTTCGTTACCCTTCTCAGCGCATACCCAACCTTACTGTCGGAGCCATACGGGCTGAAATCCTCTCCGCGCTCTTCTCATTTTTGTCGCTTTCGTCGTGCACCTCCACAGTCTGTCCACTAATGTGCGCAAGCGCCGCCACGTCGGCCAATGGAAAAGTGTGAACGCACCCTCTGCCTGCCGGAAACGCTGCCGAGCTGAAAGACCCTAGTGCTTCCGGTAAAATGGAAGAAGATTTATCATCATTCCGCGCTTTTTTGCTTTCGGGGGTAGTCTCACGTCGGAAGGGAATTTTATGAATGAGTAGAGACACATTTTGTCTTCTCGCGTGCTTCCTTTTTGCGGGGATAAATGGGAGGGAGAGTGATGTGTATTTTATACTTTTATGCTTGGGGTGGATTTACAACATTCTCAAGGATCGTACTATGTACAAAATACAATTATTTCTGGTGAATATTGTACGGTAGCAGTAGATTCAATTGTGCATAGAGACTGTACTCAATGCACAAGATGAAAAATTTATGCCACGTGAGAAATTGAATGATGATTAAGGTAGTAATTGTGCTAAAACACATTTACTTTCGCTTCATTCCAATTTTTATATGAAACCTCAAGCCCTTCAAACCATGACATAAAGCTTAATGAAAGTATTCTTTTGTACTTATGTTCATATCTATCTTTTCTAAAATCATTCATGTGGTTTTACATAATAAATAACAAAGGTCTCCCAAAAAGTAATTTTGTTAGTGTTACTTTATCTCGCGGAGATGAATTTTGTTCCCCTCGTTAGGGGTTGTTAAAGACGTGGAAGAACAATAGCGCTAAGTAGCAACTTTTACAAGGAAGGGCAGTTTGTACCATACCCAGCTAGTACAATCACGTCATAACGAAGTCGAAATTTGATGATAACTCGAGAATTGATGTGATTGTTCCAAATGCCAACGTCGTTATGACGTTCTACTGAATGAAGTTGTGTATATGTACGGCAAGACGTTGTTGTCAAGTGTTTCTCAAGTCATCTTTTTTTTAATCATGTATATGAAAAATGTTTTTTTTTTTAATTTAGAATCAATCTTCTCCGATTCAAATGAAAAGTTAGCGGACAGAGATATAATTATTTCATTCTATCCGTTATCGACGTTCACTCAAAGCAAATCGAAGTTCTCTAAGATGTTGCTAAAAGTTACCGTATAATGTTGGATTTCTCATTTATAATTCGATCCGATATATAATATTTCAGGATTTCTAAGAATAAGTGTGAGTTCAAAATGAACAAAAAATGACTTTATTGGACACAACATTTAGATAGATACACAAAAAATATATATCACATTCTAGCTACTCAATGTGTTATGTATTCTTGAAAAATGTTGTTACGTTTAATATGCCAACGCTATCATGTGACAACTGACAGTGAGTGACAATCGCGGATCGCTGCAATCGACGTTATTCTTTCCCGCTCTCGTCTTTTTGTACCCGGTACCCGCGCCTCGTTGCGCCAACTTCCACGTGCTGGGTATTCCTAAAATTATATTAAAATAGGCCATTTTGAAAGTAGGTAGTTTCAAGCTTACGTGATTTTAATTCTCTAGCATGTGGTGTATGATACCATGTGTTACTCGCAGTCTTACGCAGCTTATAGAGTGTAAAAGTTAGGACATTAGCGGAGTGTTCCCACCACAAATGTCATGTAGGCTGGGTCAGTGGAGGATGAGGGTCCCCAGCAATAGGTCTTTCGTCTCTAGGCGAGCAGCACCCAGCCAGTGTTACAATGGCTATGGTGCTCGGTCTGTGTACTACTACTGGTAATACAATATACGATTTTTTGAATAAGCTAAAACTGGTTATTTATTATAAATGATAGACGACATCTTCACGTCCAGCAAGTGAAGTATTATTAACGTCTGCCATATGACGTCATCGGTAAGTGAGGTCATTTTCTAGTTACTTTTATGTCATCCAACTCGTCATTCTCGCAACTCCGTGACCAGTTTTCAACTACATTTCCACGTGCTTGTACTACCTGGGTTTGTAATATGTTATGCAATCAATTGCGTCTCTGAATTGAATGATTATTTAAAGTAAGATTGTTTTACATGTTTCTACCAGAACGCACAACAGAAAACATAGTTTATGTAAGTACTGGATATTTAGGATAATAATCTTTTAGAAAATGATACAATCTGTCGAACCAGTTTGTTAAGTTGTACCACTTGTTGCTGATATTTTCCAATTTATTCGTATTTTCCTGCGAAAACATATAAAAGTGCGTGGGTTCCATAGAGTCCTAGTTTCCCAGACATTTGGTTAACATGGTGGAGGTTTCTGTGGAGCAGCAGGTTAAACGAAATAAGAGCCGATCTTTTTATCGATAACCGTTAATTTATTATAGCCATCGGCGTTGTGAAAGGGCATGTGCCTCAACCATTGAGTTTTGACCTAGAAATTTTGGTTTACTATATTTCTCTTCTTGTTTTCTTGGTTGGTCAGTGCCAATTTAAGGTATGTTAAGAGAATACCTAACAGCAACATTGAAAAATGCAAAATATTTTGGAGCCAAACCGAATCTTTGATGGATGCTGAAACGTACACTTTGAGCTTATCTACTTTAATTTTGCAACTAAAAGCTCTTAGAAAAGGTCTTCACTTTTTACGTTCACATTTTAGAGCCACGAGATTATATTAAGAAATGACAGCAACCCTCAAAAAAAGCAAAAGGTACGAATATCAAATTAATTGAACTAGTTCCCAGGCTTTTAATTGGATAAATATACTGAGAATGATATAGCAGCAGTAATTTTCATATTATGTTCAAACAGGTATTTGATTTTAGCCACGATTCTGCTCGGATCACAACTATTTAGAAAAACAGAGTAGAATTCAAGCAAAGTATATTACTATTCTGGTATTCTGCCATTGCTCCTGTTTGATGAAGACAATTTTTCGTATTGTTCACCTTCCAAGATCACGAATTAAGCAGAAATGCTCATAAGCTGTACCGTTACTGAATATTTACTATCTTCCCTTTGCGTTACTCGATTTATCCAGGTTTATTAACAATAACTGAGCGATTCACATCGCAATACAGCTGGTATTTCTGGTCTGCTGTACGTAAGTACACCCTGTGTAGGAAAACGTGTATGCCGATATATTGGTTTGTCGCTTTGGTAGGCAATGGTGGCCACATTACTCAAAAGTATGCACTAAAACAACATAATTTGGCAACAAAAAATGCAGGCTTGGCTGCTTCTCATCTATTCGAATTCATTGGTTTTATGTGACATCATTACTGCATGGAACCATTCAATTGAACAATATAAATCACAGTGGCTACATTTTATGAATCGTTCACTGTGAAGTGGCCAAAGAATAGATAGATTCATTCAAACCAGTTAATGTGCAAACACGCTTTGACACGTCAATATCAGTTAATGATTAGGCAAAACTAAAGAGAAAAAATGTGGTGGAGAATTAAGACAATGCTGGAATGTACTCACCTTAACTGGAGCAGAGCCTTATGCAGTAGATCCAAAATCCGATATAATACTGCTACTTATACCAATTTATTACCGCCGATATCATCCCGTGGATGACAAGATCGAAAAGTGATAACGTCGTCGACTTCGTTCTCTACCAAATGTGGACAAGCCGAAAGAGAGTCTCGGTTCGTAATCTGAAAATATCCTTAGACAACCAACATCACCAATAGTTATAAGTAAGTCCAAAACAACAAGGTTTTTAGTTTTTTCAATACCGTGGCATAGAATTACTATCTTATGCTTTTCTCTAGTGTCACGATTGTGTCCATGCACTCCATTTCCTGTAAATGTGGCCTCGTCTGTACACAAAATTAATTTCATAAAAATTCTTATTTCTGTTTTAAAAGCCACTGGCATAATGCAATCCTTCTAGGAAGATTTTCAAGTTGTTACGCTTGTACCCGTTGATAATGATAAGGATAATACTGTTCTTGTCGTATTGTCTTCCACACTTTACCATGAGAAACTTCAACTTGAGCTGCTATGCCTCTAGTACTCACTGTTGAGTCGTCTTCGAACATTTCTAAAATGTCTTCTTCAATTTGAAACATTTCAGGTTGAGCAGGTCTTCCAGCGTGACCTCGTCGTTGTTCTTGTAAATATTCTGTGTCACGAAGTCTAATAACTGAATTTACAAGCATTCGTGACGCCAGGTGATTTCTTAAAGGAAACCTTTCCGCATACAACCTGCTATGTTGCGGCTGCATTTTGTTGGCACTTTCCGTATGTTAGTATTATGTCCACTAGTTCATTGTTTTCGTAAACATGGCCATTTTTTCGCACAGAATCAACTTAAAAATGAAGGTATACGCACTATTAAAATACCATACAGTAACACAAAAAGTTTTCCAAATTTAGATAGACGGTAAGAGTGGTAAACAAAAAACGCTAAGACCTTACACGGCAGTGGTCAGGATATAAAAAAAAACGTGTAGTAGGTAACATTCTTATTTTTTACATGTTTAATCTTTTACTATTTATTTTTCCTATGATATTTCGACTGGAAATGCTATAAAACTAGTTTTTCTGCTTTTACGGTTTCTATAATAATACAGATTCTCCTATCTACGTCCAATCGTACGCATATTACCAATTAATACAAAAGTTATGAACTACATATCGTTCTGAACCGATAATTATGAGTTATTACGGACTACGTAACAAGTAGTTAGTCCATTTTTTTCGTATTAGGTGGAATTACATATGCTAGACTTCATAAATATTCAGATAAAATCGGAAAATTGATAGATCTACATTTGTAGGTTGTCTTTTCGATATGTATTTTGCTGTTGTTCAGGAAGGAGTACTTCAAAAAAACATTGGATGAATGTTTGTAAACGACTGAGTGACAAAGCTAACATTAGATTTGTTTACCGCACTAGTAAGGTTATAGAAAAACGTCTTTATGAGAACTGATCACAATTCTCAGACAACGACATATGGAAGGGGGATATATCTTAGAGATATTAGATATTTAGTGTCCTTGTGAGGTAGCGCCTTTAGTGAATCAAGTTCTTTTTTGAATGTGATCTGAACCCAGAAAAACCGAGGTAAACGTCTAGAGAACTGCCTCTTGGAAGCATTTAACTGCACCAAGTTGTTTCGTCCTAGGAAATGACCTGGAAATCCTCCATCAGAGGGGAAGTCGTTAGTCTTCTTTTTCCCAGTTCATTATCAGAGATCGACTTAACGCTTTGAATACCTGCATGCAGAGTCTTGTCGTCCGGAAAGCTGTGGTTTGAATTAATCGCTGTTGAAGTCAATCCCGATCATTGAGAACTACCCGCACTGACGCGTCTTTTATTAACGTTATTCCACCAGAATGTCTTATGAGTGGGGATAATGATTTGGCATCACCATGTGGTTGAACAAGCCTACCTCGTAGTTGTGTGATGTAGGTTAGGAGGTTCCAAGTTGATTTCTGGTGCCATATCATTCTGACTCTAATCAAGCCGTAATGATTGAGAAAGCACAGCAGAATAGATGTTTTGATCCTTTTTTTGGACGGACTTTTTTTTTTGTTAGAGAGAAGGAAATGTACCTACCGCACGCAACGGCGCATTGCCGGCTGGGCAACTCGACAATGTATTGCTACAGTGTGAGGCTCCCACTCACTAAAACCTCCTCTTTTTTTCTAGACCGTGTTCCATCTACGGTACTACCTTGCGGCTTTATCCATCATAGATGGGGTCCCTTGTGCCGCCTTTATTGTGGCTTCAGCTACAGTCGGTTCTGCTCATTCCATTTTAGCCATCTAGGGATTTTTGGACGGACTTTAAGTGATTGAACTTTTATAGTCAGTTGGGAACATGCAGGAGACATAGGCCGTTTAGAAAAGACGTGAAAGTACAGAAATCAGCTCCATCGCTTCCTTCAATACGTTCGGGGATCCTGTCAGAATCGAAAGCTTTTTAGTTAGGTATCTAATAACTTCGCTTTTTTGAACAGGAGAAAGCCTTTATATATAGTTACTCTCAGGTAGAAAGGCTCGACAACATTGCCCTGTTGGCCCTTCTTGCCCGAAGTGTGAGATTCTGCAAAAGCGGCATACTCACCAAAACCTCTCAGGCGTTCACAACACATCATCTCCTTCATGGTGGGTAGCGTTGAGCTAAGTTTGTTTCTGTCTTCCATTATCTTGCTTAGTATGATTCGCCTCACTATTGGCTGAATGTCAACCCATTTGACCGCTCTTACATATCTTGTCACCATAAAGCCTCTCGCCGAGCGTCGAGCTCAGCGGTCTCTGATAGCCAATCTGTCGGTCACAGGTGAGTAGATGATCCTCCTCATTATTGCAATATATGCAGTCCGCGTACGCTCTCTTTTTTACTCTCGTCAGGTAGCTGTCAAAAAAACCATGTCCTCCGAGGAACTGTGCAGCATAGCAATCTATCAGCACCGTTTCCTTATCAATCCAGATTTGTATGTCTGCAACCAGCCTTCTAGTCCATGCCCCTTGACCAGTTGAATCCCATCTCTCTTGTCATAATATAAGAAAAAGGATCTGTCTTATATCGCCTCCAGCTACGACGCCCTCCTTATAGACTGCCAGAACATCAATTGGCGGATACTAGCCACCACCAGCAATGCAGCCCTTGATACTGCCCTGTATTCTGTAGTCGCAGACCACGTGTAGCACAACCTTTCGCTGGCTTCTGAGTACTAGCATATTTCTTTTTCGTCGAAGCTGTGTTGTAAATGAAAGCTACATACAGCATAATCGTGTTTGCTACCCCTGCCAAGATTCTACGCCCTTCGCAGCTGGGACCTCCATCAAATGACATCAGTCTTATCAAGAATGCTACGACTTCGTCTACCTTATCAGTTTCAATTTAGGTACAGCTTTTGGTGACGGATTTGTGACCAGATGGCTAATAGATTTGTTATGGCGTTTTCTTGCCCGGGGACGTTGCCATTTGTCTTTTTTCTTTAAATGAATGTTCCCCTCTATCTGTAAGACATTTTGACTGATTTGAAAATGGTTTTCAGTAGGTATGCAGTTTGTGATCCATTGACGATGGTTTCTAGGTAGGACTTGCGCTGTTAGCTCGCTGAGGGCGCTCTCATTTGAGAAGTTAATGTTTACACTCCTATCTAAAACGGGATGATCGACTGCGACTTGTGGAAGATTTGTGATTCATCGGTGATAGTTCCTAGATAAGTGTTACGGTATTAGTTTTCCAGAGGGCGATTCATCATATATACGTAGATCCCTACTGATGCTGTAACGGGCGTAACTTGTCCATAAGCTAAAAATAAAGAAAAATTAAGAATTATGCAAGAAGAACAATTATAGTGCAAAATATTAAAATATACTGGGGGTATAATACGAAGTAGCTTGAACGGGGGCAAAGTTACTTGTTTAGGTAATCTAACAAGATGCCGCTTAGAAAGCTTTGAGATTTAAAGTACTTCCGGAGAGAGAAAAAAAAACAGAATAGTTTCAAAATCGTTTTAATTTTTTCCTGACTTAATTTTCAGAGAGGTTTCTAAGTAAATCACACACCATTGTCCCCTTTTGTTCCCTAAAAGATGGTATATTTAGAATTTCAATATGACGTTACGTCTCTTGTCCTCCAGCATCAACTAATTTTTTATAATAGATTCCATATTAGATTTCGCTCAGATGGATAGAATTTTCAAAAATACATAATATCTCATACACGGACATTGCCAATCCATAGTTATTAAAAAAAAAATGTTTTAGGTAGAAGAAACCTCGAACTGAAAATTTGAACACGCCATCCTGTAGAGGAGGAAAAGTGGCAGTGACAACATTTTTTCATACTCCAACTACGACGAAGGCGTAAGACCTAAACACACATGAGGTACTGTGGGGCTATAGGTGGATACAGCGGAAAGGGAGGGACGCGATATGGACTCTAGCCAGGGAACACGTGTGAATGCAGCATGCACACACTCTCGCACCGTCTACGAGATCCGCCGGGTGGTACCTCTGCGTCCGACAGTCAGAGACCATCTACCACCTATGGATAATCACAACATCCATAGCCAAGAGAAAAATTCTACTGGGACGGGATTCGAACCCGCGCAGCGCACGGCGACTGATTAAGAGACCGTGGCATCCACAACTAAAGCCACCGCTGCTCAAACCACCCAATTTCTCTGAAATAATGTCAGTAAAACAATGATTTTGTGACAAATATAGTAAACGAAACAAATGACTATCTCATAATTTCACGTTATATATTTTTGGAACCAGAATCAAAAACTGTATTAATCCGTGCAAAAATGCAATATGGCGTCCATGAGAAAAAATGAAGTTGTTGCTGGAGGAGCAGAGGCGAACCATTATATTGATATTCTGATTAAGGAGAAAAAATGGATATGTTAATGTGCAGTATATTTTATAATCGCACTACGAATATTCAGGAAAATTCGGTTCGTCCATTTCTCTCTAGAAGTACTTTGTCCGAGACCTGAAACTCGAGTTATATATAAAAAAAGTCGTAAAAAAAGTCTGAAGTAACGAGAGGTAAGATTAAAAATGAAAATAGAAAACTCAAGAAAATCTTCGGGGGTGCCACAGCTATTTCTGTCGCCTTTTTCAATCAAAATATACCATTATGTATTCTATCCACATCTAATGTAATGTCAACCAATTACAAACGCACAAAACCTCATTTCAGACTAGGAAATGATACTTCCCGACGGGATTTTTTGGGGTATAACGTTTTTCATTCTGATCTTTCGTATTTTCATGTTTTTAGTCGAAGGCTTGAAATATAGCCAATACTTCTTCCACTAAATCCGTCATGTTTTTTTTTTAATTTTTCAAATCTGCTTTATCTACCTCCAGAAAGGTCAATTGGACAAACTTAAAGGTCTGTGTACCTCAATCATAGACCATTACCAAACATTCCTGATGGGCAGGACCTCAAGGAACACGACGCACCAGGCCAAAAACCTAACAATCATAAATCCATCCCGAAATAGGTCCTCTCATTATCTGCAGCGCCGAAAAAAACTATCGTGCGGAAGTGCAATTTCGGAAAGACGGAGAAGAAGCAGAACACGTCTAATAACTGTCCGCTGGTGTGTCATTATAAAAATGTAAAGAAAAAATGTGTTTGAGTCAGTCGGTCCGAGCGTGTATCATTTCCTTTCGGTCGGGCAGCAGGGTCCGACGGTCCAGCAGACGAAAATCATTGTAATTAGAGCCGAAAGTCATAGGGGACGCCCGCCTATGGCGCCACCAAAGGACCGAATAAAGATGCGTCGTTGATGTGATTGCGGTGGTGGTTAACTGTTTTCGGAGAGTAATCAGTTGGATTTTGAAAACATGTGGTCCAAAGATTTTTAGGGTTAGGTCATAACTTATGCCCATATTTAATGTATTAGACGTACAGTGATCATCTTCCAAGTGAGTTTATGACAAATATAATCTTTATAAATACAAATATGGATCAGGAAATTGTTGACAATATTACTACTGGAGAATGAAATCGATCTTCAGCTCGGCATGCATATCACAGTCAGCAATAGCTTCCGCACTGCTGTGCTGGGCAGTGAGTACATGGTGAAGGCCAATATCGACGTTCACGCGGGATTGTCCTCAGGATCATGTGCGCCTACATCACTTCCTCTCAGGGGGAGGAAGAGGGTCATTTAATTCTTTGTCATGCTTATGTTCGTAGTTAGCTTTTTCACAGAAGGGCTAACTTGTGCAAAACATAATCCTTCACGAAATGATGGCATCGTGTGAAGTACAGAAACAAAACAATGCACTTGGAACATTTTAGTAGAAGACTGCATAACTATCAACCGGTGTATTGCGAGAACACAATTCTGGCTAGCTAAATGCGTTTTTTGGAGAGCTTTTGGTGTTCTCGGGATGTGGGCGAGAATGACGTATCTTGGACATTAAAAAATGACAAGTAGCGGGGATGTACGGCATTACTTAGACAGTGCCTTTCCTGGACTTTGTTTAGGTAGAGAGGTGGACACATACGATGGCCGCCAAGGTCACCCGATTTAAGTCCTCTAGATTTTTTTATATGGGAGCTTTATAAGGGGATAATCTATACATCTGAATATAATGTCAATCTACTGCGCCAAAAAATTGGTGTTGCAAAAATAAAAATTATGGAAAGCGCAAATTGAGTTCATAGACTAAAGGACAATTTTATTAGAAGGTGTCGCTTGTACGAGTATATAGAAAATAATGGGGGCCATTTCGAACATGTTCTTTAAAATCCAGTTAAATTAAATTATCTTCCATATTTGTCGGTAAATCGCCATAAAAAGTCGCTGAACGCAGTAGTTTCTGTACTTGTAGGTGATAAGGATTCTATTGCGTTTTTCACGTTTATCGCTTCACAACAACGAATGTGACATGATACACTCATCGTAGCAAACTGAAATTTCCAGTGTTTATTCTACATGCATTCAAATAGTTTTTACAATAAAACGAATAATGAACTACCTCAATTTTTTTACCGCCCTCCAAAGTTGAAGGATGGAAAAAATTTTTCACAAAAAAATTAATTTAAGATTTTCTGCGTTGGTTTCTAATTAGCTATGTTAAAAAACGACATAACCATTGCTAAAGCTAATCATTTAGCTCATCTCAAAAAAAATCACAGCCTAATGGTTTAGTTGTAATTGCGATTGAATGTTCATTATCCCATTTTTTTCGAAATTTAACAAAATTACAAATATCTCCTAAACTATAAAATTTCGGACTACACATATAGGGGTTCATTTGATATGTTTTGAGGCCCTCTATGACATGATTTCCGTTAATCCACTACTAACTTCACGCCCTGTATATATATACAGGGTGTTTCGCAACTTATCCGACAAATTTTGACCACATATGCAGTGTTACGAAAGAAGTCGATTTCTCAAAAAAATTTAACAAAATTCCTACAGAAATTGAAATAATAAATTAACACAGCTTAACAGTTCACTTATAAAAGCTGTTCAAAATTGTTTCCAGTGACTGCATGCGCCACGCTGTTGCCTTGTGCTTCCACAATTTCCAAAATTTCGTCTTCGACATTTAAAACGCGCTGTGGGCGAACCCGATTCCGATTTAGATCAACCACGATACAGGTTAAACCTTATTTAGACGTTCTTCAGTACGAAACAACAAAAAATTCGTGG